ACAGGTTTTTTCTCTGGGGAAGTAATTATAATAGGGAGGTGGTCACTGCCCCAGCTGTCGGGTTCGGCGAGCCAGAGCGCACGTACTGCAGCGGTGGCGAAACTCAGGTCGAGCACACTGCTCTCTACGCCAGGTCGCACAAAGGTTGCAGTGCCGTCGTTCAGACATCGGAGGCCAATAGCTGTAGTGGTATCCTCTAGAGACTGGCCACGAGCGGACGTTTGCTTGTCCCCCCAGGCCTCGTTGTGGGCGTTAAAGTCTCCAAGGATCAGCGTGGCTGGCTTACACCGAGAAAGGATCGTGCGTAAGAAGGAAGGATTCCAAGGAGAACTGGGCCGAATATATACCGATACGATTGTCATGGCGTCCGAGTTGTCTTTTTGTATCGTGACAGCCACGTATTCTGCGCTTTGGTCGCAGAGATCTGAAAGATCCACTTGGAACTGAGGTAAGTCTCTGTGTACAAATAGAGATGCCTTAGGTGCGTCTGTTGTTGTTGATGTTGTTCGGGGAGTACTGGTGTAGATAACGTAGGGAGATAGTCGGATCGCTCCTGACTTCAAGTTGGTTTCCTGGAGGGCGAGTACCTCGACTTCGTGTCTCCGTAAATGTTGCCGTAAGTCATTTATCTTGTTTCGAAGCCCGTTGACATTCCACTGAATTATTGTGGGAAATAAGCTGCTTTTATTGCAGCGAGGAAGTGTATTCTTTGTATGTTTCGTTTTTTCACTTTGCGATGTGTTGTTCCTGATGAAGCAGTCTAGTTGCACCAGGAAGTGACAAGTGGAACAACAATGTCAATAATTGTGATCATTGCTTGAGCGATGGGTGACTGGAGAGAAGTGAGGAAGGAGCGCAACAACGTGACAATTGTGCACAACGCATTACCAAGGCTTTGAGACTTGGGTGTTGCAACTGATCTTGGCTTCTTTTGAGCTGGGTGTTCTCTTGCCCATTTTCTTGGTACTTCTTGGTTCTTAGAAGTATTCTGGGTCGAAACAGCTTCTGCATTCTTGGGTGAAGACTCTGGCTGCTCTGCAGACGGGACCATTGGCTTCGGCATGATTTCTGATGACAAAGTATCCAACGGGGGAAAATCGGTTTCATTCATCTCTGGGATGATAGCTTTCTTGTCTCCTTTCAAGCTTTGCTTTTGCTTGTGGGGAGTGCGGTGCTTCTCCAGTCCTCGAACCTTTTGTTCATTCGTGATGACAGTTTTGGCAGACGTATAGTCGACATTGTTCGAGCTTCTGTAGTTAGTTTTCTGCTTTTCAGCTTTGTAGGCTGGGCAGTTCCGGGATGTGGCATCGTGGCCTCTCTTGCAGTTTATGCACCTTGGTTGCTTCGCTTCGCACTCGCTGACGACATGTTCTCCACCACATCGGCTGCAGCGTTCCGTTTTGGAGCATGTGCTCGCCAGATGTCCGAAGCGGTTACACTTAGGACACTGCCGCGGTTTTTCGAGGTAGGAAAGGACACTGTATCGTGTGTGCCCCACAAAGACGTATTGTGGTGAGGTTCTGGTGGAGAAGACAAGCTTTACCGCCTCTGTCTTGCCGAGTCTCCTCACTTGAATGACTGGTGCTTTTTCCCTTATTGATGCCCAGAGGTCCGCGTCTGTGATCTCTGTTGATACGCCGCGAATAACGCCAACATTGGAAGATGGGGGTGCTGGCTCATACGTCTGAACTTGGATTGTGCCAAGCTTCTTCAGCTGAAGAAGGGACTTCGTTGATTCTATATTTCTTGCATCTATGGCCAATAGGTTAAGGCGATAATTTGGTCGAATTTGGATTACTCCGTCTGGTGCCAGGTTTTCTAGCATCTGTTTCAGAGCCAGGGGATTCATGCTAGTGATGATCGTGGTCGGATTAGTAGGTTTGACAATGACCACAAGGTTGTGAGTAGGCTGAGTGATGATCGTCGCCTCACTCGAATTGGATCCGTGGCGTCGTTTCTTTGCTACTTTGGTGATCCATCCACCTTCGTCATCAGACTCCTCCATGACGTTATCAGGGGAGCACTCAGAGATGTTGGATGATTCGGCTGATTGGTCTGCGCTGCATGCTTGTGGCGGTGCGTTTGGATGGCTCATTTTCCTTAATCCCCGTTGGTCGGAGACGGGTCACTGCTTCAAGAGCCGAGGACTGCTGCCCCTCGTTGAAGAACGAGGGGTTGCGGAAGAATCGGTGACAGATATATATATATAAAATTGTCATTTACCTCTAGAGCAATGTAGAGAATGGTCCTACCGGACTCGTCGTCGTCGTCGTTTTTTCACGCTTTTCTCTTTTTGACAGCTGTCAGCGGGCTTGGCCTTTTTTTTTGTTTGCGTGCTCTTTTTGCAGTGGTAAAAGATGAACACGGTTGAGGTTTTTGTGAATGGTGCCAGACATCGCGTGACGTTATCCAAGGCGGACCTCGACGATCTGATGGCCGGCGAGTTGTTTTTTTTTTTCTTTTTTTTAAAAAAAAAAAAATAAGAGTTAGTGTACAGTTTTGCTTGATACATTCTGAGGCTTACTAAGGCAGCTGACTTATGTCCTTTTACGCATCACTGACGAGGGATCAGATTATTTCATTTAAAGTTTTGTATCAAACAGATTCGTCGAGGTTGCAAGCCTGGGCATCCTCGTTTGCCGGCGGCGCAGGACCTTTGACGGTCGGCGACGCAGGACCTTCGACGATCGGCGGCGCAGGACCATCGACGGTCGGCAGTGCAGTACAACCTTCGACACCTTCGACGGCCATCAGCGGTGCGTATTTTTCTATGAATTTTTTTTTTTTATGTGCATACTCCGAGTTTCCAGAGCAAGGGCATACAAACCTGCCGTCCAACTTTTCACTCAGCAACAGGAGAAGCGCCTTCTGTGTTGCTCCATGAACGGATACATCCCGTGTGAGCCAAATGCATCGCTGGCCTGAAGGGACCGCACGACTACGAGTTTGTACAGGGGGACGAAGGTGGTGAATTTTGTGTATAAAATTTCCAAAGAATGAGGTTACCAGACTGTGAATTAGCTAACTATGGCGACCGTCTTCAAGTGAAAGACAGGTAATGCTTCACAGCGCACAAGATCAGACACACTTAAAAAGGAAAATCACGCATACACAGGAAGAACACTCACACAACGCTGTGTTCTTCCTGTGTATGCGTGATTTTCCTTTTTAAGTGTGTCTGATCTTGTGCGCTGTGAAGCATTATCATGAATTACCAACTCGCCCAAGCTGAAGTTCTGAAAGACAGGTGATACAAGAGCCAAGAGATGGCAGCAGTTTGACATATGTTGGCAAGGTGATTGGACTTCATATCTTATTTTCACACTGGTGATTTAATTAGTTATTTGAAATTTCGATGCAGTAAATGCACCATTTTTGGCCACCTCTGTACAAAATATTAGCGTGATGCATTAAGAAACCAATTTATGCAGTTCCTTCAAAGGGACAAAGATTTAGTTGGCTCGCAAGGTAGGTTCAACAGAGATTTTTAGAGGATGTTGTAGTGTGCTATTAACAATCTCAAGAAGTTCATGGTGTGTGCTGCTGCGACGAGATGGCACCACTTGTCCGGCAGTGGCATATCTGCCCGTGTGAACGGCAGTGCTGATCCCCGTGGATCTGAATGTCTGTACGCTGGTCACGAGAAAAGAAGTCTTCATCGAAACTCCGAGCTGGCTTGACGTCTTTCCGTTCACCGGGATTCGCACATGGATCCCGGGACACCGGCATCTCGCGTCCCACAATGTGAGCCTTTCAGCATTTTTACAAGCCTTTTGAGGCACTCTTTATCGTCGCTTTTCCTGTCTCTTTCCACGCATTCATAGTGGCCATCCACGACCACTACAGATGTCATCCTCAAAAGCCCCAAACAATTTTTCAGGTCAACCTGATTTATGTGGGCAGGTGCACCTTTAGTCATATTTCGACTGGTCAACGGCTACGGTTCTTCACTGATCAAGCCGTTCACATTTTTCAACCATGAAGCAAGGACAAGTTACATTGGAAATTCGCTACACCCCAAATCCAGCAACGTACAAGTTTCCGGACGGTCAAACGTGCAATGCCTCCAAGTTAACAATGACATCCACTCTTTCAGAACAACATGATACAAATCCCTACTGGGATGACGATGGTGATCCTCTGGGAATCCTGTTCAATGTGGTCATGTGTACCTGCTTATTTCACAAGTTACCCAGTTGCAGCTGGGCACCTGCTGTGCCAAGTCCATTTCAGGTGACAGTGCTTGCCTGTGCTCCTGATCCAAACTTCTGCTGTCCGAGGGTCCCAACGTTCATGATCCTGTCCAGCCTTTTTCACCGGTGACTACGAACGCCCTCATTGTGTCTTGTCCAGGCATGCCTTCGTCAGTGCCTCCTCTTCCAGGCAGCACAGGTGTGAGTGATGGTGATAATAATGTGCATGTCAATCAGCAACTTCTGAGCCGACCACACTGCAAGGCCGGCCAGTTCATCAAAAGAAACTTACGACACCTCTCAAGAACTATGTACTCTCCTGCCACAAGACGTCACCTTTTCTTTATGAGTCTATTTATCATATTTAATTTTAGCTGAATGTTTTTGATTTTCAGTACCGCAGTGTTCAATGTTTTCTTTTTCTTCTCCAAGCCAAATGCTTATACGTCATGACATGTGCATTTCCTATATGGATATCAACTCACTTTTTCCTTAGGATGGACAAGGGTGTGTGCTTTGCCTGGTGTGGTGACATCATTCCATTTTTGTTGCAATGAATTTGTTAATTTTTTGCTCTGAAGCATGTGAAAGTGTGTTTCAGAAGCTTTTAGTATTGACAGTGCTATGGCAGCATTTTATTCCCATCTATTTCTTTGCACTTTCCTTACGATGCAGTTGTTGGCATCAGGTACTACACAGACTGGTATCACCCTTCGCCAAACGCACGTGAAAGCGTTCTAGGATGAACTGATGTGGCAGTGCAACTAGCACCATATCATAATCTGCACACAGTACATAGTGCATAGGATGGTGAAGAAAGGGAAACAACTCAGGCAAGCTCATGAATGACATCCATAGCAAAACCGAGACAAGCTGTGTTTAGCACTTTGTTTTTCTGTCTCTTTTTATTATTCCTGTCTCAGGTTTACTATGGAGGCCATAAAAGGGTACAGCAGTTGCTGCAGTTCCCTTGACTGCTCAACCTGTTTGAAGCCTCCTGGGCTGGGTTATGTCCATAACAAACACCTACAGCTTGGGTTGTGAATTTACACTGTGTATTTTTTATATGCTTACACTTTCTCTAGTGACCTGGTAGTTTTGTTTTGTTATTGAAGGGGGAAAAGTTATATTGTGTCTTGAATTGCTTCCCAAAAGGCAATTGAAAAGGATTTCAATTGCCTTTTGGGAAGCAATGACTTTGTGCTGGAGATTAAAGGAACAGTGCTGGCTACTTAACCACTTGAAGTGATTTTCAAGATTTGTGTATAGTGAGATTTTAACATGCCACATTCTTCCTTCTAGCTGTTATTGTATAAGGGAGGGACACTGTTGTATTTGTAAATAATATTTTTATTCACTAAAATCATTACTTCGATTAAGCCATTTGTATGTGTATGTTCCGTGTTTGTTTCATTTCACGCTAGGCATCACAATTGAACTGGTACATATTAAACATTCTAAGGCAACCACCTTAGACCCATTGTTCATCACCACCAGCGAGTCTTGTCTCATTCTTCACAATGGGTTCCACCTCGAAGCTGCCAAACCTTCACCGGCATCAAGGAAGCACCGTCTCTTCTGTCGGGGCTTGTCTAAGTCCTACTCCTGCTCCAGGCTATGGTCCCAGCACGCTCGCTCGATTTACTTGCACCTCCTGCGCCGGTGCAGAAAGTCTAGGGCAGTGTACTTCCGGGTGTATCTTAATACACATACCGGAAGTACACTGCTCTACACTTTTCTGTACCGGTGCAGGAGGTGCAAGCAAATTGAACGAGCCTTGTGATGACCGTCCTTCATAAGAGACAAGGGATTGTACTGCTTAGGGACGCATGAAGTGTATCAGTCAACACAAGCATATACATTAGCACAGCCCTATAATTTGTAGTGCAATGTAGGTTGCCGAGAGTCCTTGTTGGGTTTTGCCAGGATGTTCTATATTCTATTTCAGCATGAGCTGACAAAGGGAGAAAGTTTGAACCTTGTGAGCCAGCGGGGCAACAGAGCAAAGTATGTCAAGAGCTCGGTGAACACTGTCGGTATACATTGTCATGTGCTTCCCTCAAACACTCCAATGGGCTCACTGGGACCCTACTGTTTGCCAAGTTATGCTGAAACAGCAGTCCCTAGACTCCCTACTCCCTTTTTAAAATTAAAATACACCATGGATAACTGGCTTCTCTGTTGCAATAAATTTTAAACTTATTTTATATTAAATAAGTTTTAGCTACTATTATTAGTTCTAAATATTTCAGTGAGTTGATCTAAACTTATTTTTTGCTTCCAGAGTCTGAAGAGACAACAGGTAACCGTTTTTTTTTCAAGGAAAGGACTGCATCCTGCCTGACGGTGCTCCAACCCAGAGTGAATGAAGTGAAGGAGAGACCAGGCTGCTTCTTGATAAATATCAAAGCTATCTGAGCCGAGTGGGGCCCATGAAAACTTTTAAGAACAAAAAAGCCATGTGGGCAGCCATCTCGGAGGATATTGCTAATGACCTCGGCTCCCACAAAACAGCAGATCAGTGTCAGAACCGTTTTAAAACTATAAAGAAACGCCGGACGGAACGGAAACAGCACAATGCCTCATCAGGTGCAAATCCTGTTTCTGTTCCCTAATATGAGGAATTAAAAAAAAAATCAAGTCCATTGACGACAGTGTGCAACCGGAGCTTCTTAGAGGACCTGGGCAAGTCGAGTTTAAATTCTCCGCCACTTCACGCAGTTTGGATAGCACTAAGCCAGAACATGCCAAAGATACACCGCCCATGAAAAAGCAGAAGGTGAACTCTGTGTGAAATGATGTGGAAGATACACATGCACAGAGAAGAGCAGCGGGAACGTCGCCACAAAGAGAAGTTGGAGGTTTTGCGCAGTCTTCTGGCTCCTGAAGAAGATCTTGAAGCCTAATGGTAGGCGTGTAGATGTAAGGATTATTAGCCAAGACGTGCTTTTATATGGACAGACATCCGTTACGTTTTTGTATTTATAAATATTAAATTTAATGGAGTTATTTTTCTAGTTGGTTTCTGAGGCTGTAGAAACTATGTATGCTATTGCTTTGCAGGACCGAGGATCAGGTCAAATGCATAATTACTTTATTATGTTGTTTCCTAACAACAGAGTGCACGAAAAAGTTGGCAGGTGCCGCACACTTTCCTACAACATAGTGGTGCACAGGAACGTTGACAAGTTACTGGACTGTGCGAAGGTAGCATGCAATTTTTTTTCTCTTTTCTTCACCCAGTTGTCTTAGTAGCTTCTCCCTTTTGGGGTTTTCTTTATCTCAAGCGTCGCCCGGGCCTGGCTTGCGACCCTTGCTTGCATTTTTTACTTCTTCCCCATCTATATCTGTGTCTCCTGCGTCGATACACAAATTGTGCAAGACGCAACACGCAAGAATAAACTGTGTGGCCTTGTTGACACTCCAGAACTCAAGGTATAAAAGCTGCCTGAAGCGTCCCTTCAGTAGCCCAAAGGCATTTTCTATTCGGACACGTGTCTGGCTCAGCTTTAAGTTGTAGTTCACCTCGTCCGGCACGAGTTTGCCGTAGTTCCTAAATTGAGTTAGGAGGTACTCTCTTAGGGGGTACGCTGCATCTCCTAGTATATGATACTTGTCACCCTCACAGATTTGTGGCAAGTCATCCAAGACAAAGGACCGCCTGAATGCCTGTACGTCGTGTGTTTTCCCCGTGTGCCCGAGAAAGACATCTAGGAACTTTCGATCAGAATCGCAAATTGCTTGCATGCTGTAGGACTTCTTATCGTGTCTGTTCGTATACGTGGATGGAATTTTATGTGCAGGGCATCTGGTGTCCACATAGGTGCCATCCACACAGCCCAATAACACGAGGGAAGCCTGAAATCTGAAGTTAATTTGTGATCAGTACTTTTTCAAGCAGGTGCAAAACTAACTTTACCTTTTCGAATTTCGCACTAGCTGCAACCTTAGCTTGTGCAGATATGGGAAAATGAATGACGTCGGTACTGATGCTTTCCAAGAAGCTTGCCCCCGCTCGACGATGTCATGAAGAATGCTTTCTGCCGTGCCAAATATCACTGCGACGGCTCGCTCACTTAGTTTGTTTCCAGCAAACCTGAAAAAAAAATTACTTTTCCTGTCATATTCAAAGCTCAGATTGAGAGAAATCTTCCGACCTAACTTACTCACCAAAAGGAGGAAAGTACATGTTCTTCAGCGTTCTTCCGGGGGTAGGGACCATGGCCACGAGGATAGAACTCCGACTTCTCATAGTCAGCTATCACTTTGTAGCACACGTCTCGGGCTACCCGGAAATGCTTTCGGAACTGAAAAAAAAAAAATATATATATATATATATATATATCTTGCCCATTATCACTGGTTTAAGAAAGAGTACCACCAGATAATAGCCGTACCTCGGTGTTACCGAAGCGCTTCACAACGCTCTCCACGAAGTTCATGACTTTCGGGCGCTCCTTGCCGCCGCAGCAATCACCGGTAATCGTGGCGATGGTAAAAAACTCGTCGTCCTCGCTGTCCGAAGAGCTAAGGAACTCATCGAGTGCCGCTGCGAGGAGTGCTCGTTTTCGTAAGGTCGCCATCTCGACGAACTGCACGACTGCCACTCCCGCCATCTTCTCGATTCCCGCTCCAGGCCGCAATGCCTGATGGGACTGCACCCCGGCGCACCGTCGATTTTCTTGGTGCGCGTTGGGGCAACGAAAAGCCGCACCGGGAGGGTGCGCTCCGTTGATCGAGGACGTCCGGTGCGCACCGGTGTACTTGATCGAAGACGACGGGGCGCTACTCAGTGCACCGGTGCGCACCGGTGCGGATGATCGAGGATGCTATTAATGACACTATTCATGCTCTTGTTCAAGAGGCTTGTAATACCTGGAGGAGCCATGACGTAAGCCCCGTGGATTCCACAAGCCACTACCTTCTGACACCTGCCTCTTCCTCATTGTTCCCGCTTGTGCCAGTAAATTAGCTACGCTTCAGGGTAACGACACTTGGCCATATTGTGGCTTAAAATCATGGTTGCCAGTTACCTGAAGCTTTATCTAGAACCACAGGAAACAATTTTCCATCCCCCACAAATGTTTAAACAACCCGCGACAGAGCATTGCAATATTGCATCAGCTTCCTAGCACCGCGTCTAATGCTGAGGGAGTCGTACTTTTGGATCATGACGATCGGCAGTTGCGTTTGCTCTGAACAAGACCCAAAATGGCGGTGCCCAAAACAATATTGGGGAACGGAGTGCCGATACTTTAAAGCTCATTTAGTGGTTCTAGGCATGAAGTGAACTCGGGTGTATTATTTTCCTCTTCGTCTTTATTGTGTATTGATTTCAATCATATCGAATAATGAACACATTATATCACGCTACGCGTGTGTAATTATTTGTCTGAGATTTATTAACCTGACTCAGTATTTAAACCATTCATTTATCGATAGTAAATCTTCCAATATATTTTTTAAATGTGAAGGTAAAAAGACACGGAGATTGATGATGATACAGACGCCAACGCCGCCCTCGGAAATTTTTTGAACACTAGAAATCAGCAGTTTGTCTGCCATCCGCCAGGTAGGGCAACAAAACAACCAAACAGGTTTAACTTTTTAAAATTAGCTAAGCTCTACACCTATTAAGAAACCAAAACAAGATCATTGTGAAAATTTAATACATCGCAATGTATATCTCTCCTAAACAATAAATGTTATTAGACGCCAAAAAATCTGTTTGATGTCCAAAAAAGATATGCTTCAAAAACAGGTAAGTTTGAAGGGCTCGTGGAGCGTTATGACTTTGAAAATGAAAAAAAAAAAAAGCCATCGTCCACCTCTTGGGTAACCATTGTAGCTCTAAATGTTATAAAAGATTTTATCATAGTTTATTTATTTCTTCAGCGGCATTTGAAGTACCATGACCCGAAGCAAAAAAAAGTGCTACGTTTGATATAAAATATCTAAACAAAAAAAGTTTGCACAACATCACATTTTTTTTACATATTACCAAATATAAGCACTATATCTATAGCTAATGTCATTGCCCTAGCGTTTGTCATTAAAAACATATTTGTGTTGAAAAATGTCAATTTTAGAGCAATATTTGGAGGGATGAAAAAAACAAAGTAGTGCAAATACCAAAAAAGTGTATCGTTACATTCTGCTCCGACATCATTTAAAAAAAACTGCTATATTGGAACCGTGCTATCTTTAATGGATCGTTCATAAAACGTGAACTAGCGGAACAAGTGAGGGTCCCCGCCATCATATTCGCAACGCTACAAATGCGCATAAACAGTAAAAACCAACACATGCATAATATCAAATGAAAGAGGATTGCATTGCCTTTCGAATGACATTAATCCCACAAAAGAGTATTTAAAAGGAGATGAGTAATGACCTGCCCAAAAGTACCTATACTCCGTTTCATACTTAGCGTGCAACGCTGTCAAAGTACTGGCGCGAGCGCGTGACTTCATCTATGGTTTTGCTTGCGCGAGAACGCGCGCAAATGATTAACGAGATCAAGCCCCACGCTCGCGCCAGTAGCGTTCACAGCGTTGCACGCTAAGTATGAAACAGTATAAACTGCCACATTCAGTGGGACCGTGGCCTTAAACCTGGGTTCCTTAAAACTTCTTAAACCAGAGAACACACTGGCGCCATCTATTAGGAAGCAGTATAAACTCGGAGGTCCGGCATATATTTTTTTTTTTTTATTTCTCGCGCATTATCCTTTCTTTCTTGGCTCGAAAAATTTTCGTCAATGTTATAAACGAGCCTTTCTATGGGTATTCCGCACATTTGACCTCGGAAATCCCGCAAAACCTTCGCTCTTGTGAAATGCAGTTCCAGGGTCACCGCATAGATGGCGCCACAATGCCAGTGTGTTCCCTCATTCTTTAAGAGATCTCGTCTCTCTCAGTCGTACTCGGTCGCAAGAGTGTGAGCGGGCCTTTATTAGGAACATAAAGAAGAGGCATTTTTTCAAATGGTAAAGATAAGGCACGCACGAAAGGTGAACTTTGAGTTCGAAGCAAATTCCAAGCGAATTGTAGCTCTGTTCGAATATATTCGAATCGAAAATGAAATAGTTTCAGGCTTATTTTTACTGCACCATGCTTAAATGAAAGCCCAAATGAAATCGCGAAGTTTGTTTCCAACCTTCCACCGTCCCATATTTCTAAGCCAAGTTAATTTTAATCTAGGTAACTATGTTTATGAGCTGCGACCTCCTCGAAGCCAATGCCCAGATTGGGACGACAGGCCAACGACACATTTAACATAAAACTAAACCTATACAGGTGCCCAGCTATACCTAATTGATGGGGTTTATAAATCTTGTTGCTTCATTTTTGTTTTCTATCAACGTTTGCGAAGAATACGGGAGCCGCCTCCTGCGTGACCACACTAGTTGCCACGAATGCCACCAGTCTAGCGCTCGCCGGAGAAAGGCGCGCGCGATCCTCCGTTATGGACACGTGTGATTAGTACTGTAGTTTTAAAAGTGTTGATTGAGATGAATTATATCAGAATTAACTGCTGGGCTAGTTGGTAAGGCATTATGGAGGACAAGAGTGCAAAAGACACGGACAAGTAGAAGAAGAGGACAGGACAGGACAAAGCGCTACAATCAACTGGCGTTTTTTAATGTGAAAGAGGAGAACGGAACCTGGGAATTTTTTAGTAATGAAAAAGGAAGAAGAAGGCTGCTGTCAAAACAGAGAAACTAAGAAAACCAAAAAAATTATACACACGGACACACACATACATCTATATATATATATATATATGTATATATATATATTAAGTTATAAAGAAAACAGGACTGGGGAAATGAGGCTAGGGAAAGAAAATAAGAACAAAACAATTAGGAACAAAAATTTAAAAAAAAAGAAATTCAAAGAAATATCTAAAAGAGAAA